CCAAAATTCATTCACCTCAATTTCCTGTCCCGGATCTGGAAAGGGGGTAAGCCGGGGTCTGTGTCCAGGGCGGCAACTTCGGCGGGCAGCAAATTCAAGTGTGGTGCTGGATCGTATTTGGAATGTTGTCTAATTTTTATACATTAGTAGTTTTAAAGCCAGGTTAAAAACTCTTTTAAGAATATTTATAATTAATTAATAATAAACCTTTTAATGGAACAAACAGTTAAAAGAAAGCTAAGTACAGCTGAATACGACTTTAAAGATGAGATCAGAGAGAGAGAGCAATAGAGAGACTCCAGGTGTCACTGACAAGGTCAGACGACCCTGTCCCATATCTGAATTCAACATCTCTTTTTTTTTTAGGCGATTCTTGTAATATGAACGACACTTTCAAATCCACGTTTCTGTTTTGGAGGAAACGGTGAAGTGGTTATATACTTGAAAACACAGTATGTTATCCGAGATGGAGGCCTAGAAGAATACTATATGCAGTGGAATCTCTCTTAACCGACGGCATTGGGACCTTACCGTTTCCGGATAAAAGCTTTTGCCTAATGACTAAATATCTGTTTCTAGAACTTATTTGTTCATGTTTTGTGATAACTTTTGTGGAAAAATCAGCATGCTAAATCGGTAGGGGGTATTTTTCAATCTGTCGGTCACTATTAAACAAATAATATCGTATATCGTACAAATTATTTAAAATTAAACCACAAAGATCAATTTTTATATTTCGGTAAAACAAAGTTAAACAGCATTGCAAAATTCGCATACACAGGGCAGTCACAAAAAACTTGGCCAACATCTGCACTTGTAGCGTCCGTTCCCGTTAACCGATCGAGATGAGATTGCAAGTATAGTTATTTGGAGATATGTGCTCGAGATTCTGTGAATGGCAACACAGGCATGCTCACGGTTACGGTTCTAGTTACAGAAACCAGAAAATTTCGAATGTAAACACTAGCGGTTCCGGTGACAAAATGTTCAAATGCGAAAACCCTTCATAGCTTTGGAACGGTACCAATATGTCCAATAACGGACATGTTATGCATACACAAAATTTTGCTGCGTATACAAAGGAGTTTCATAACACTGTGTGCGAACACAGATGACTATTTATCAGTAAATTTTATTAAATTCTGTAGCTCTTTATCAACTTCTTTCCACTCAATACTTTTGCTACCCATATCGTCTTCATCCTTTCCTTTTCTCCTTAATAATCCCTCACATTTCCGATTATTCCTCCACTCCCTCACATTTCCCATTATTCTGTAGAGACATTAGGTTATTTCGAAGCAGGGGACATGAAAAATGAACAATGCCCTCGCCGGGACTCGAATCTCGGACCTCTCGAATATGCGCCGAGTGTGCTGGCCATTATACCACGAAGGTACGCTAAGAAACTTGGAGAAATATCTTATATACTCCTCATTTTAAAGGATGACTTCGCCAAATCTTGGTGTGAAGATCATCATCCACCACCGTTTTTAGTTCGGGCGCCACTGTAGAGACATTAGGTATTTTTTAAAGTAGGAGAGATGAAAAATGAGCAATGTCCTCGCCGGGACTCGAACTACGGACCACTCGAATACGCGCCGAACGTGCTGACCATTAGACCACGAAGGCCTGCTGAGAAGGCGGGAGAAATACCTCATATACTCCCACTTTTAAAGAGCAACTGAGGATTAGGTGACCCAATCGCCAAATCCTGGTGGTTTAAAATTATTATTCACCATCTTTTTTTATTTCGGGCGCCTCTGTAGATTATTTTACCACATTAGATTATTTTGGAGTAGGAGACTTAAAAAATTAGCAATGCCCTCACCGGGACTCGAACCTCGATTGTATGATAGGAAAGAGAACTTTCTACATCTATTCTAACCTGCATATTCTCTTCACCAACGCTAAATGTTTTCGAACATGTAACTAAATCCAAGATGTCTGGCGAGGAGCCGGACATATTTTATAACCAAAAAACACTTCGTCTCTCGGCACTTTGTCTACGAACATGATTATAGGTTACAATTTATACCAACAAGTGAAGTAATGTCCTTTACATTTTTCCAGGCAAGAGCCAAGTAAATGCAACATCTCTCACTGTGAATTTATTTTGGAAATTACGCACGCTATTGTCAAAGTTCGCACATTGAAACATACTTCATTCTCATATTCTGGATAATTCTTTCGTTGGACATGGTTTGCTACGCTGCGCGCCAGAAACACAGTACAAATCTTTCCTCATTTATACCTTCAAATTGTTAATCCGTTACATGTTTTTATCTCCTGGTTTTAAATTTCGGATTTAAATTCAGACTTTAAAGAGTCAATTTAGACAGTGGGCACAATAGGCAGATGTCTTGTTTGGGACCCGCTAAGTCTTTTTGCCCGCAGGACAAAAATGAAGCTTAGGTGCGAAGGAAAGGTAAATAGAAAAAGGACCACTTCATTTAAAAGAAAACTGATCTCTCTTTTCAGACCTCTGACCAGAAATGTGGCTCTTTGAAAACACTTTCTATGTGCTTGAACTAGCTGAAATCGCCGGCAAAGCCGAAGAAAAAAAATAAAGAAGAAAGGAATCCAGTTTGAAGTTAATTTAAAATCTGTTTAGGAATTAACATTTAAATTCAGACACGAAAGCGAAAGCAAAATAAGGAGTCCAAACGTGTAATTCGAAGCAATATGATTGCTTCCATCATGAAAACATATCACATCAAAGGTACACAACAGTAGACAAAAGTAGATTTCCTTACATTTTTGAGAACATAGCAGCAGACAAAAGTAGATGCCCATACAGAAATCGGGACCATATCAGAAGACAAAATAATATATGCATACACAGTCGCGTTCGAAATAAACAGTAATAAGTTGGATCGTGCAGTCAAGTTTCAGAAAAATGTACGAAGTCTTTGAAGCAGATACCCAAGATTATGAAACCGTCACATACTACTAAAGATCGGAATCTTTATAGTCGCAAAGATTTTCACGAGTTATGGTAACAAAAAGTGTTGGACGATATGATGAAGAAAGCTAGCTAAAACACTTCCATATAAGAGTTCAACAATCATACGGCAGAAATATAAACAAAAATCCTAGCAGTAAATCAAGAATTCAAAAGTGAGTATGGAAACAAATATGGCTGCTATGGGAAAAAATTAGGCCGCACTTTGTTAAATTGTTGATAATTCTACAACTATAACATGCAGATTCACTGAAGGCATAAAATCCTTAACCGGAAAATAACAACATAATTCAATCATTTTCAAAGCAAAAAGTTCGTTGCTTCGCGCCTACGGGACGTTGGTCATGAACGGGTTAAGAAAATCGGATTGAAAATAAAGTAAGGAGCGGGCGTCCGGCAGAGTTAATTCAACGTGATCAAAGATGTATAATTAGAAAATTTGTGAAAAATCCAAGTTTGGATGCTGTAAAGATTTCTATAGCATTTACTGAAAATGTTTCTACTTCAATTCTATCTCAAACTGCTCGACGAGTACTCAGATCAGTTCGATTACATACGTTCGATTACATACTGCTGTGACTGTTTCTTCTCTGCTGGAAAAAAATTAAGTGCAAAAAATAGGCAGCTTATTCTTACTTTCGCAAAATCAATGGTAAATAAGCCTGAAGCGTATTGGTACCATGTCTTATTTGCAGATGAGACAAACTTAACATTTTTGTTCCGATGGACATATAATTTTATACAGAAGAAAAATTGTTGAATTTAATCCCAAGATCTTGGATGGAACTGTAAAGCATGGCGGTGGAGTTGTCCTTGTATGGGGGTGCTTGTGAGCATCAAGAGTAGGTATTTTAGTATTTATTGATGGCATAATGAACCTTGCTTTTTATTTAAATATTTTATCCTCCTAAAATCAGAGTACTGGAAACAACTTTATCTTTTTTCAGGATAACGATCGTAACCGAACAAAAAAACAGAAATGCTGGAAGAACGGAGGAGCTTTGATGCAGATATTACCAAAAAAAGGGAGCAGAAAAACTGGTTAACTCTATGCCTAGACGTTTGGAAGCTGTCATAAATGCTTCAGGATATCTTACAATACAGTAAGAGAAATATTACAATATTTACTAATATGTGCATCTTATTTTCAAATGAGACAAACATAAAATTTTGGTTTCGATGGACATATAATTTTATACAGAAGAAAAATTGTGGAACTTAATCCCAGGATGTGTGTTGGAACTGTAAAGCGGGGCGGTGGACCTGACAAAAGTGTATGAGGACATTTGTGACGGGAATTTTCTGTTACTTTTTGATACAACCGATTTTCCAAAAAAACGTTTGGCTATGTTCATAAAATAATTAATGTATTTTTTCTAATTGAAGTTTATAGATATTATACAAAAATTCTCATTCTCAAATATTAGATTTTGTTAATGGATAAAGCTTATGTTAAGTGGCCGCAGGCCTTCGAGGCACGGGTATAGAATTTAACGAACTTTTACAGATCCTAGGGAATTGATAAACAGGCCTTCGGGTCGAACACCACTTAACGAATGATGATCTCCGATCTCTCGGAGCCGAAACCTTATCCCAGATTAATAAATATAAATAGCCCAACGTATAAGTAGCATGTAAATAGTGGTAATAAGCATGTAAATAGTAATACTAGTAATAAGTAACAGATAATAAAATAAGTCCAAATTAGAAAGGAGTAAGGCGAATAATGTCCATCGGGTAAAAAAGTGGAGTCGACGAATTAATTACTGAATAGTAGATCACGAGGGAGTCAGAGTCGTTAAAGCTAGTGATGACTTTCTGTTTGTTATGCTGAGCCAAAAAATACGAGTATAATTCTATTTCAACGTGCAGATAAAAACCAACACCATAATAACAGGCCAATAAATACTTCGAATTAAAAGACGAGAGCTGCAAAATGAAAATTCTTTTCAATCACTCCGATCACAGGTGTTGGCAATAGTTATTTTTATTTTTTTTGGACAAAATTAAATATTTTTCTATTTATAAATTGAAGATTTTCGAAACTTGACTACTGCTTCCGGTACAATTTACGATACTGTAACACAGTTTCCGGCACAGCTCAACTATACTTTCGTAGATTGGAGAAACTCTCTTGCCGGTAAATCATTAATAATTACCGAGTAAACTGTAATTTTCCAGACTAATGCTTCAATATAAATGCTGTATATGGAAATATAATATTTTAGAATGCAGTAAATATTTGTTGATGCACTTTAATTCATGCATGCTAGAATAAAATAATTAGAAATGCAAAGTTAAAATTTTAAAAGTGTGGGCGTGTCGTCCAGTAAAATAAAAAGTTCATAAATTTCTGTCTTACTATTTTTCCCACTTGCTATCTGAATGCAAATAGTCTTTAAACCTTCTTCTTCCTTTCCTTATAAAGATTGCTGTGACTGTTTCTTATCTTCACATTTCCTTCTTTTCTGCAAAACATTTGAGTTCAACTAAAAATGTTATCAGGCTTTCATGGTACTAACTAAATTTTTTATCTATCTTTGAATGAACCTCTTAAGTTTAGAATAGTGCTTTAATGTAGACATTTTTTTTTTTTTTTTATATTACTAGTGCAGTGTAAGCAGAGTGCATTTTCATCTTATAATGTAGTCATTTAATACACTTTTCTTCCTCTAAAGTCTTCTCTATAAACACAGTGTGTCACTATTATGTTTAAGCTGAGCTTGATAATATCCATTGTTACAGGCTTAAAACAGCCTAATTTCTGTGTAAAAAGCTATTATTTACTCTTGGTGAAAAGGAAAGGAAAAAATACTTCGATATTAACAGGAGTCTAATTATGCATGTTGCCTGTACTCATCTTAATTAAAGAAATTATGAATCGCAATGTTAAATATAAATCAGCTAAAAAATGTAGGCAATAAATGGAATTATTTATTGCTTAAAAAATTTCATGTAAATGTCGCTTTTCACTGAAATTTGCTAATTATTTTGCAGTTTAATACCACAGAAATTAATAACAGTTTTATTAATTTCTGTGGAGTTGTATATTAAAGGAGATGTTATGTTGCTAAATTTTTCAATATATTTCAATTGAACTTCTACAGGGTAAATGGTTTTAGTGTTTTCAGTATTGCTATTAATTTGTTGTTATTTTTGGTCAGAGTGCCACTTTCCAACGTATTTTAAATTTCATGCTACTTTCATCATGCTGAAATGAAAACTTGAATCTCTCATCCAACGGATAATTTTTTTTTTCCCCCGTTTGAGTTGTATGCTTCTGCAAGAATGCATGTGTAGGATTGAACACAAAGTGATTATATGCATGATGTTCGAGAAACAAGGCCTTCCCGTTCTTGGAAAATATTACCGTGAAGAATGGCTTTTTGTTGGTAGCAGGCGATTTGTTCGCTCCCTGTGAATGGGATAAGTTTCTTTGCACTCTTCATAGTGACATCATGAGTGAGTTTAATGGCCTTGGTGTTTAAAGGTCATGTAATATGCCTCTTCTGAGCCATATTTAAATACAGTGTATGCTTTCAAGCAGTAGGACTGTATCAAGATTTGGTTTGAATGGTGCTCATATTTCCTTTCTTATGGTATACAGATTTATTTATGACTGGGCAAAAATATTGATGTCTCTTAAATGGTATAAAGAATAATTATAAATTGACGAAACAGCAGTCAACTGAAATAAAAACTTGCATAAAAGTGTGCATCATGATCATACAAAATTAAATTAATTCTGAACTAATTCCACAGCAGTGGATTTTTAATGATGTTTTTAGGGAAAGTGGAAACTGTTTCTTTATGATGATCTTAAATAGAAATGCTAAAATACCCATTGATATCATCCAACTTACATCATGAGTATTTTAATAGGGGAAAGATGATATATTCAAAATGTTGGAAATGATGCAAATCTGAGGAATTAATGATTCCAGATTCTTATCATTTTGTGGTAAATTGCAAGCATAACTACAAGAAGTAATGTAACCAATGCTTATATACAGATGATTGAATGTCTTTGTATGTGAGTGAAGTGGAGAAATAAAGGTACTTTTTGATTCTTTGTACCTTCACTGAAAAGTAATAGATATAGAGAAAAATACTTGTTTGGGCATTCTTACATCAATTTCAAGGATGTATCTAGGGCCTCTTGCTTTTTACATTCTTCTTTTCCCATTCAGGATATTTGCACTTCTCTGTTTTTTACACTGTTGTTCTTACCATGTACATAGTGATCTTTTTTTGCTAAAAAGCACAGTTGTACAAACTTGTCACTGTGCATAACCTCAGCATTTAAAATCAGTTAAAAAGCAGCAGTTAAAATGAGAAATAAAAAAAAAAAAAAAAAAAAAGTGGATGTAGTCTTAAAGCAAACCACAGTACATTCTATATGTGCTAAAAGTTAAGTCTGAGATTTTACCAGAGATGAGGAAAACATCAGTATGTAGTAAACTGCTGCTGAAATTCCCATAGGAGGAATCATAATCTTGGTCATACTGGTGAAAATAACCAGAGAAATGAAACGCCATCTGGCTGGATGTAATGTACATAGATGTGCTGCCACGGTAATGCTTTTCGGAGACATTATGCCTTGTCAATACTTTTCAATAGCTTTTCAGTGCAAGTGTGGGTATTAAGAAAGTACCAAAATAAATATTAATGAAGCACTATACATGAGCACACAGATCCGTATCGTACTGAATATACTTGAAAAAGAAAGAGAGAACCAAACGAAGCAAATTTGTCTGCAGCAGCAAATCTTTTGTACTCAGAAACTGTGATGAAGCAGAATTGTAGCAATTTAAAAATCAAATTATATATAAGATTGCACATTGGTCCTTTTTAAAAGAAACTTAAACTCAACTTGTTGTGTTCTTCAGAAATCAGAATTCTGTAAATTTTCATAAGATGTAAAATGAAATTCAACTTTTTTAATCATTTGAAGCTAATCTATCCCCTTTAACATCTAATGTAACATAAGTAGAACTTCTGTCTAATCTTTGGAATATGGTAGCAGGTAGTTTGGCGACATATTGGTAAGGTGATAAAGGTTACTAGCTAGGACTTTAGCAGTGTACATGGATAAAGTCAGGAATGTGTGCAATGCCATTTTTGTGCAATTCTGGGATGTTTTTTTAAGTGAAAATAGGTCGACGTGTACATGGATACTGTATATGTGCAATTCTTAAAAATGCGGCAAGCAGTTTGCTATTCTGCACTTTCTCCCAATTTCGCACCTAATTTTCGTCATGATCAAGTACATTTGTTCCATGAAAGTTCTAGCATAAGCGTAATTCGGCTAGCAAATTGTTGGAAAAAAATGTTGAGTAAAAAATAAATAAATAAAAAAAAAAGCCTTTACTTCCTTGAAAACAAAATGGCGTCCAAACAAAAACTAGCAGGTTGCTGTAGCAGGGTTGGTCGCCAAAAAATCGCCGAGTTAGCATAATCCAAAGATTAACCGAACTTCTCTTTGACAATGATTTAATATTTATATATTATCATCTCACTCTTTTATTTGTGCAATTTGTCTGCAGTGTATGAGCAAGTTATTACAATTTAATTTTTGGTTAATCTTTGGATTATGGTAACTGGGAAATTTTTTGGTGAAAATTTGGCAACCAACCCTGCTACAGCAACCTGCTAGTTTTTGTTTGGACGCCATTTTGTTTTCACGAAGTAAAGGCATTTTTTTTTTTTTTTTTACTCAAAATTTTTTTCCAACGATCTGCTAGCCGAATTACGCTTATGCTAGAACTTTTATGGAACAAAAGTGCTTAATCATGATGAAGATTAGGTGCGAAATTAGGAGAAAGTGCAGAATCACAAACTGCTTGCCGCGTGTTTAAGATTTGCACATACACAGCATCCATGTACACGTCGACCTATTTTCGCGTAAAAAAAATCCCAGAATTGCACAAAAATGGCATTGCACACACTCTTGACTTTATCCATGTACATTGCCAAAGTCCTAGCTAGTAACCTTTATCACCTTACCAAAATGTTGCCAAACTACCTGTTACCATATACCAAAGATTAGCCTAATTTTTTTATGTACTACTTCACAGGTTATATAAGAGTAGTCTTTCCAGTACATTTTGAATATTTTTTATGGTAATGTATAACTACCTGCTTGAAAATTTATGCTATGGAAGTATGGTTTTAAAAATCATTTACATATAAAAACCTCAATGTCAAAGTTCTGCCAAAATTGATCAACAGATTGTTACATATATGTAACAGTCTGTAATGCATTTTGAAAATTGAGTCTGTTTCTACATATTCTACATTCAAAATATTAAAAAAAAGGAAACATAATTTAAAAAATGCGAACACGGTATTAAAAACAGTTTTTAATAAATTTTTATAAATACTTAAACTTTCAAATTTTGGATAACCTCAAAATAAATTTAATTGCCTTAAACATAGCTTCCTCAGTTTATTTGAAGTTCTTAGAATTCTTTATGCAAAACAAATTCATGTAAAAATTAGATAAGCCTATTTAAAAATTTTTTAGACTAATCTATTTTAAATTCATCTAAAATAGGTATAAAGTTTTTAGTATATAATGAAAGGGTACTTACATAGTAGTGCTACCAACTTGGTACAGTTTCGCAGTTTTTTACAGAGGAAAAAAAATAATGACATAAGTCATCATTCAATTGCAAATATTTATTACATATGTAATTATTACCCATTTTGTATTCTAATTAGGTATTTATGTCAAAAATCTATCAGTAAACCTATTTAGAAGCTGGTTTTTCAAACCTCAAACCATGTTCCTTTTGTTTTCTTTCCTTTTCTTTTGTTCGGAAAATTTGATGATGATATCTTTAAGGATTGATTAAAAAAATTGTTCCCTTTTAGCAATTTTGCAACAAAATACTGTACTCATGCAGAAATTTTATTGTGAATTTTCCTTTGATAGCAAATTTTACAAGTAGATAACTTACAATTGTGTTTAAGGCAAAAAATATCATTACTTGTCTTGAAAATAGTAAAAGCTTGAAATACAACAAAAGGAATGCATACAAAAATGGTAGCATTATTTGACTGAAGGATTGTAATGAGCATGGTTACTCTGAGAATGATTACCAAAAGAAAATGCACAATGCCCAGTTTGTGCAATTC